TTTGTGCTTTCTTTTTATCTATAAAATATTATAGTTAATAGAAATCTTATAAAGGAAATATTAAATATTATTTTATCTACTTACTAGTAGATTTTTTTCTAGAAGGCATAGTAATTGGCAAAAAATAGTAAAAAAAAAATTACCTCCAAAAATTATATATATAGCCAGATAGTATATTCTACACGTCACTTGTGATCATATGTCATTTGTCTTCAATCACGGAAATTTATAGCCATATAGTATATTCTACACGTCACTTGTTTTATGACGCATAATTAATTAATTACATTAGTTATACTTTATCATCTTATTTTGACCATACGTTATTTGTCTTCGATTATAAATTATTAGTGTTAGAAATGCAAAATAAGCAGAAATTACACACAGAAATCATATACTATGAAACGATCAAGTAGAACCAAGAATCATTATGATCGCAGTAGAGTACCAAAGCTATGTATTTTAAAACGATACAAAAAAAAAGAATTATCAGAAATAGAGCAAGTCTTCTCTTTTAAGAAACACCATTTAACTAAGGAAGAAGCTGCTGAGGAAGCTGAAGAATTATTAGAAGTAGTTCAAGATATAGATATTTCAGAGAATGTTTTCTCATTTGGGAAATATAAGAATAAAGCTGCCGAAGAAGCTATTGAAACTAACAATAATATTTATGAAATCAGCGATATTAATAAAGCAATTGAGACTGATAAAACTGGCAAAATTGATGAAAGTAATAATATGGATGAAAATGATGGTATGGGTGAAAATAACGAAACAGATGAGAATGATAATATGGATGAAGATAACGATATAGAAGAGACTGATAATATGGATAAAAATAACGAAACGGATGAGAATGATAATATGGATGAAAATAACGAAACGGATGAGAATGATAATATGGATAAAAATAACGATATGGATAAAAATAACGATACAGATAAGAATGATAATATGGATGAAAATAACGATATGGATGAGAATACCGATACGGATGAGAATGATTTTACAGATTATTTTTCAGATAATTCTGATGATAATATAAATAAAATGATAATATATACAATCATCCACCAAGCATATTTCCGGGCCCCGCGCATGAGCCACTAATTGATGTTATAGAAGACGATCCAAAAAACGATGAAATTTTTGAGGAAGAATCCTCAGAATTTGAAGGTTTTAATGGAGAATATGGTCTATACTTTCCAAATTTTACGTCTACAATGTTATATATCTGGATCACAAAGCATATGATTTGTAAGTAACGTTAGTGACAGAATTCAAAGTTGGAAATTAAAATAATGATTACTGATTATTTTCATTGTTAAAAGTTCCATTTTTGAATTCGTGTTTAAATCTAAAAAGGAAATTTTTAATAAATTTCCTTTTTGAATAAAATTTTTTGAATTTAGATTTATTTACGTATTATATAGTAACAGGCTCCAATCTGGGTTGGTGTCATCAGATATAACTTTTAGAATCTAAATAAGTGCATACTATATATTTATAAATTATTTATCTTTATTGTAGCAACTAGTGCATATGAAGATCTTTCTAAAATCCTCAAATACCCTAATTTTCATAAGGAAGATGTAGTCACAAATATTCGATGCATTCGCAAGTGGAGACACGGATTTCCTTTAGTTAGAATACACCAGCATGATATACCTATTTGCAAGCAAAAAGCACCCTCAGTGCTTGTACATACTAAAAAGGCCTACACAATATCTCCTTTAACACATTTGAAAAGAATCTTGAATAATCCAACACTCATGCCAAAATTATACTTCAGACCTGGCGTAGTTAAAAAAGAAAAAAGTGAATTTTGGCATAGGAGCTTTGGCAAGATTCGCCACTTTTCGGGGAATGTAAAATAAGATGTAATAATGGAGGTTAGTTCGAGATATTAACTTTTGGGATTCATTTGTGGGGACACTTGAAGAACAGTTAACCCAGTGATCAATGATCACATGATAAACGTATAATGACGCATATTGTTTACCAGAATTAAATAGATTGGCCTAAATTATACCCTTATCATAACTCTAAACTAACACTAATGAAGTCATGTGATATTGTGATCATCACTGGGTTAACTCTTTTTCAATCTACCCCATTTGTGTTGCTCATTATCCCTATGGTCATTTCACCGCCAGACTATTTATCTGGCATTACATAGGGTTAGAGTTATCATTTCTATTAGTTGCAGTTATATATTATTAGTAAATTATCACTTTTTATGATGTCAGATAAACAGCCTGTCGGAAAATAACCATTGAGAAAATTGGATGTAACTATTTATTTGTATATTAATTTCAAAGTTTAAATTATTAGAGATTTACAATTCAGGAGATTTTGTTATATGTAAAGAATCGTTATCAATTTTTATATACTACATACGTGGCATAGTAACTAATGAAATAGATAAATCCCGTCAACTAAAAGTTGATCAGCTCTTATAGCATCAGAATCTCCCGAATTGTCGAGCTAACAGTAATCACCACACACATGGAAATGGAAAAGAATTATGGCTTGTTAAAGGAGAATCGACATTCATCAACCTGGAAATTATTAGTTAACGTATTAAAGTTTGGTTTAGTGATTTGCCTGAACCCAGAAAATATGATTTTTATGTTCAGGAAATAGTATATAGTTTTAATAACCGTTGGAAATATCGTGACATTTTCAAAAGGCATAGATTGCCTTTTGAAAATATCACTATTAGTACACTACCACGGCCAATTCCCGTGCTAAAAATATTTTTGAATATTTATCTAGATCATTTCGGCACCTACAGAAATGTTTATTATTCTTTGGGTGGTACATATATGCAGATCGGTAACATGAAGCAATCTGATCGAAAATTGCTTAAGAACCATTTTCTTATTGGCTTGGTTCCATTTGGCACTGATTTTAAAGATTTCATTAAACCAGTGCTCAATGATCTTAAACGTTTGGAAAATGGGTTCATTATGTATACACTATATGGGGATGCTTGGATCATAGGTGGTATTGGATGTGTCACTGCCGATTTACCGCAAGGCAATGACTTAGCGGGTATAAAACAGCATGGGGCATTATATGGTTGTAGAACATGCAATGTCCCAAACAACAAACTTACTGATCCAAGTTTTAACTACATTGAGCATGCACAATTCCAGCAGGAAACAGAAAGTCAATTGCTAGAAATTAAAAATCAACAAACTAAGACCGGTAAGGAGCAATTGGCTACTTTATATGGGCTAGCAACAACTTCTGGACCTTTGAATATACTAAAATGGGATCGTCATATACAAACCCCTCAGGATATCTATCACGCATTGGGTGATAAGCCGCAAAAACAATTTATTTGTTTGATTTTTGTCAATATTGATAAATTTCAGAAAGGAGGTCTTTGTACAATTACTCTAAACTGCTATATACAAGAATCCCCAGATATCAAAACCCCTATGTTCTATAATCGGATCTCTAACATAGGATAAAGTTTTGGTAAAAGTAAAAGACCCGAGTATACAAATAGAATAAGTACTAATAGTCAGTAATTCGGCTATCACCAACTCCAATTATCAGATTTGTATCCATATAAAAGACCCACAGGACTGTTAATAGGGTTTAAAAATGGTAAAATAAAACAGACCTGGGTCTTGTATATGGCAGTTTATGGTATTAGTACAAAACTGTAAACAAACTTAATACAAAAATTTAACCCTTTTTTATAGGGAAGGCTCGCACTTTGTTAGACGCAACTTTTAGCACATTTACTGCAAATGGTGAAAAAGCTTTTATAAAATGCTGGCAAGACATCGAAAAGCCAATTTGCTGGTGCAGGATGCCTAATCCAATAAGGCATTGGCATAGTTTTATGTTTTCTGATGTCTTAAAGCTTGTAATGCTAATGCCGTTCATACTCAGACGATGTCTAAAACCTCAGTACATAAAGATAATATTTCAATTAAACAGTTATGCACTCTCTGGGTTGTTGAAGCTAAAACGCTTAAACTAGCATTTTTAACAACTATGACTGAAACTGTTTATAAAGAGTTACAAGAATTATTAAATGAGGAACGTAATTTGCTTATTACAGTTAAGTTTATAAAATTTTATTATAGTCTAATCTGTAGAATTATTTATTAATTTGAATATATTAATAAACAAATATTTTCTTATTGAAAAAAAATAAGATATTCCCAGGATATTTTACAAATTTACCAAATGTGTATGTCAATACACATTTGTTACAACATGCCAAGAATTTTGGCACATTAACAAATACTGCCGTGGGTATGAAAGAGATGGTCCATCGTACTTTCAAGGCGATGATTCCACATATGAATTGTAAAGCCATCGATCTTGATCTTACTAGACGATACAATACTATACAGGCGTTAAGGCATATTGTCGATGGTTTAAAAGACCTCTAGTTTAGCACTAATACTGGAGCATTTTATAATCTTACGATTGATCCATGCCTTCGAAAAATTTTTTCGAACTGGTACGCTATAGAAGACCCGTCATCATATCTGCAAAATGGTAAAAATGAAAATGGTAAATAAATTCATTTTTTTTATAATTTCAAAATAATGAATATGAGTATTATTTCACAGTTGG